TTGCGTTCAACGGACCGACGTTACGTGTATAGATAGTTCACACATACCTGCAATGACCTCTGTCACATACTTGACCAATAGCATGATACGGTCATGAAGCATCTTGACAGCAGCACGCTGCGTCTGAAGATGCGACTCCACTGTCCAGCGAGTTAGTATAATTGTGCGACTACAAGCGGTGTAATGAGAGACTTACGGCTAGTACCTCCCGATCCACCCTTCGCAGTCCAATCTACAGCAATGCGCTCCGCCTCACCGGTTTCGACAGAATACGTCGCTTCAATGAACACAGAGCGCGACTTGCGATCACGCATTTCAATTGTGGGTTCGTAGGCTTTCAGCGGTAGCGATTGTCCTGAAGCGTCAGCGGCAGCAGCAAAGATTGTCGAGGGCTGCATTATGAGGAGAAGTGGCGTTGAGCTGTACAGAGTAAACTGCAAAGGTTGTTGATAAATGCACTGCATCAAACACATGGACTGCTGACCTGTTCGTGGAGAACGATGTGACGAGCAGTCGGTCGTTCCGCCACAGTGTACCAGCCGATGAACTCCAGGGAAGGGAAGACTTGCTTGTCTGCAAATGGATTTCAGCGTCCGATAGATGCACATCGCAGCGAAAGCGTTGCAGACTGACACTGTTCTTTCCGCGTAACTAAGAACCCTTGGTCGACCGTCACTCCATCGTCCTCGACTGCGAGCTCGAAGCTGTTCACGATTTCGACATCCCGTCCATTTTGTGTTCCAAGGAGCGCACCAAGAACTGCACGCGAAGATGATCGGCATGCCATGTCTTCTGTGACCGCGTTAATTACATACCAAAGGGTACATGGCTCCGTGTCTGCAACCTCAGACGGGTGAGATGCTCCGATATATTGAGTATAGGTAAGGGGTGGCTGAAGACCGCGCGTCAGTGGCTGCAAGCACAAGAACCGGACAGGCAGACGACGGACAGAGCAAGGGAGAGGCCAGATGTTGTGGTGGATGGCAAGACGACGGGGAGATCATCGGTGTCCATTGAAGTCATGGTGCAAGATGTCCGGGTCAAGAGCAGCTGCAGCCACAGACCGCGCAAGCAGGAGAGCGTACAGACGCCCGTGTATGCGGGATGCGATATGACGACACGTGCCCCGGCATTCGCCGTCGACGCGAACGAGCCTGCCCTGAGGCTCATTTGTGGCTCGGCGCGTCGCGTCCGACTCCTTGCTCACCACCAACGCGTTCCCCACTTCCACCCTCCCACCATGTCCGGCTTCGACGCTGATCGAGTCTACTCTGTCCGTACACAGAACACCAGGGAGCCAGAAGGGCCTCCCCTGCAGTACCCCTCCCAGACCGAGAAACTCCTCCTTGACTTTCTCTTGCAATATCGCGTCGGCAATGAGTTCATCTACAGGTCCGTACCCGTTGCGACATGTAGCTTCAATACGAGTCTAATAGGCGCGACTACAGGGACAAACTGCGCGCGAACCTGCTGCTCAAGCAACATCAGATCGAGGTTGACCTCCGACATGTTGGACTATACAACGACGAGTTGGCACACGCGATTCAGGAGAAGCCGGGAGAGATTTTGCCATTGGTGCGTGCATAGTCATATGATTGCAGTTTGATCTAACAAGGGCTCGAAAGTTTGAGTCTGCCGCGGCGAGAGCTGCTCGCACAATCCTCTTTCCCCTCACGAGCAACTCCGAAGCTGCTCAACATGCAATCCCCAATGTGCAAGTCCTCGTCAAGTCAGGGCTGAACTTGCAGCAATTCCGCGATCTGACCGCAAACACCATGAACAAGCTGGTTCGCATCCCAGGCATAGTCATTTCCGCTTCTGTGCTTTCTTCCCGGGCTACCAAGCTGCACTTGCAATGTCGAGCATGTCGGTCAACCAAGATCATTTATCCGCCCAGCGGCCTGGGTGGTTTGGGCGGAGGTTCTGATCGCGGGCTTCCGCGAGTCTGTGACGCCCCGGAGCCAGAGGGACAGAAGAAGGATTGTCCCCTCGATCCATACCTTATCATTCATTCCAAGTCGTCCTTCACCGACCATCAGACGCTGAAGCTCCAGGAGGCTCCGGACATGGTTCCTGTCGGAGAACTACCTAGACACATGTTGCTGTCAGCGGATCGGTATCTCACAGGGCAGGTCGTTCCGGGTTCTCGTGTCATCGCAACCGGTATATATTCGACCTTCCAGTCAGCGAAGAACGTAAGTGCTTTGCCCCTTGTCTTCACCTCGTACCTAAGCACTCGTACAGCGCTCCAAGGGTGCAGCTGCCTTGCGGGACCCCTACTTACGGCTTGTGCATCTTGAAGTCTCGTCCCCAGCCGCCGGTGGCGCAGGGGGCGCGAACCCCTTTGGTGCCCAGTTCACCGCTGAAGAGGAGGAAGAATTCGGTGAAATGGCTCGCAGTGAGGGCTTCTACGAACGTTTTGCCCGGAGTGTTGCGCCTAGTATATGGGGTAGCCTCGGTATGCCTCGATCTCTTCATACCGAGAATGCTGGCTGAACGTCTGTATGCGCAGATATCAAGAAGGCCATCACATGTCTTCTCTTGGGTGGTTCGAAGAAGATCTTGCCCGACGGTATGCGACTACGAGGAGACATCAATGTCCTTTTGCTTGGTGATCCTGGTACGGCGAAGAGTCAGTTGCTCAAGTTCGTTGAGAAGGTTTGTTATATGCCTCGTCCGAAGATGAGATATACTGACATTTGATCAGGTTGCTCCCATTGCTGTGTACACCTCCGGCAAAGGTTCTAGTGCTGCCGGTTTGACAGCCTCCGTCCAGCGTGACTCTGTCTCCGTAAGTTGTCAACCGCCTATGATGATAGGCCAACGGTCTAAACAGTCCTCGCTAGCGCGAGTTCTATCTCGAAGGCGGTGCGATGGTACTCGCAGACACCGGTGTGGTATGTATCGACGAGTTCGATAAGATGCGTGACGAAGACCGCGTCGCGATCCACGAAGCAATGGAGCAGCAAACAATATCTATCGCCAAAGCCGGCATCACTACGGTGCTCAACTCGCGCACGAGTGTGCTCGCAGCCGCCAATCCCGTCTGGGGACGATACGACGAGGGTCGGAGTCCAGGAGAGGTCGGTCATTGACTCGAGTTCCGCATGAACTAGGCTAAGCAATGAGGCAACAGAATATTGACTTCCAAACGACAATCCTATCCCGTTTCGACATGATCTTCATCGTGAAGGATGAACATAACGAGCAACGGGATCGAGTGGGTCGCACCCATTTCTTCTGCGAGGTGGCAAATCTGAATGTTTTTATGCAGATGATCGCGAAACACGTCATGAACATTCATATGAACCGAACGAACGAGGGTGATGAGAATGGTGAAATTGTCGGCGAGATCGACGTCGACAAGATGAAGAAATTCATTGCTTACTGCAAAGCGTACGAGCTCCTGCGCTACCCCTTCTCAACCCACGGTCTGACGCCTTATAACAGGAAATGCGCACCGCGACTTTCCGCAGAGGCACAGGAGATGCTCAGCAGCCATTTCGTCGCACTACGGCAACAAGTGAAGCAGTTTGAGCAAGACAATGACGAGCGTAGCTCCATCCCCATCACCATCCGGTGCGTACTTCCGGCCTGTCGTGATGTTTTGCTTCTGATCCAAATAATGCGCAGACAACTTGAGGCCATTATTCGTATCTCCGAATCGCTGGCGAAGCTTACCCTCTCGCCTGTCGTTCAGAACCATCATGTGGAGGAAGCCATCCGGTTGTTCAAGTTCTCGACGATGGACGCTGTCTCCGCAGGCTCAGTGGATGGCATGTCCCGAGGTGCACTGAACGAGGAGATGAGCAAGATCGAGAAGGAGATCAGGAGGAGACTGCCAATTGGCTGGAGCACGAGCTACCAGAGCTTGGTGCGCGAATTCGTCACGCAGCAGACCTTTTCAAGCCACGCGTTGGAGAGGACGCTGTTCATGTTGGAGAAGAGGGAGATTATCAGATTCTCTGGACAGGTACGTTCCTGGTATGTGGATTCTCCATCATGGCTGACGGGCAAATTCCTCCGGCCTTCAGAAAAAGATTGTGCACCGGTGAGTCATGCTCTTAGGGCTAGATGATGAGTGGGCATGATCCTAACCAATCTTTCGCACAGTGTCGGTGTGTAGTGTCGGCATGCTCTGGTCTCACTGTGATTCTTGTTTTCGGTCTGCTGTCCCAGGCTCGTCGCGCTGTAGAACTCGTGTATCCTGTACCGCCACGATGGAGAATGTATTATTGACCAAGTGTACGTGTGTGTAATTTGCTTCCGTGATAGATTGCTGCACGAGATGATCACCTGTGCTCGCGACCTCCGAGACGGTCGGTGTCAAGGTAGTCGATGTCTGATGGTGAGATAGATGGAACTGGCATGACCTTGACCTCATTCGATTGTTCGCGGCGTCTGGATCTCCGGGTCCAACCTGCGAGGTGGGAAGTTCTGCAGAGGTTCACTGTACGCGACCTCAGTTAGTCGTCAGGGACGATTCGAGGTGGAATCGGCACGTACGTCCGAACGTCCCACACATCCTCGCTGCTCTTGTGCGTCCGCCGACGTGCCCACCACTCGGCACGTCTGCGGATCCACACGTCGCGCTTTTCCTCGGGATGCATGCCCTTGAGGCTCATGCAGTACTTGAATTCCTCGAGTTTTGGGGAGCATGTGGCCATCTCGCCGTAGCGATAAAGAGATCTCATCTGAGAGCTGACAACTAAGTAGTTGCTGTCAGTGAAGGCAAGGATCAAAGGGTCAGAGCAACGTCACCATTGCAGAGGAGGAAGTCATCAAACAGCTTCATACATCCAGGCACTTCTTCAGGAGTGGGATGTACCTTGCGAAGATATTCTTCCTCCTGTTTGATTATCTCGGGGCTCAGCTGGTCTTCTGCCGTAGGCATTATGTCTTGGCTCAAGATGAGTAGCATGAACTGGCTGCTAGCGACAAAGATAAATCAAGAAAGTGGCGTACGGAGCTATGTACGCCAGTTAATACCGTAAGGTATCGCCCGCCTAGCTCAATCGGATAGAGCGTCAGACTCTTACGATGCCAGGCACCGAGGCGATCTGAAGGCTGCGAGTTCGACCCTCGCGGTGGGCTAGTGTTTTTGGACTGTACAGCGTCGCTAATCATACATATCAACCTTGCCAACGTTACGCAGTACTACGCTTTTGTACAACAATTGTCTGACCGCCTCAATACGCAACCTTCGACGCCAGCCCATCATTCTCGCGCGCGTAACAGCGGTGTTGGCTGACTTCGTAGGCGAAACTCGAGATGAAACTTTTCTCGTCCTGCTTGATGGTGAGCATGCCAGCTGCCGCAGAGCCAGCATCGTATTTGCCCGCTGTCACGACTCCGTACGACTGCGTTACGCTGTTGCTGCTCAGGTCGGGGGCCAACTGTACGGGAAGTTGGACGGCTTCTCGCAGGAACGCGACACCTAATATCCATACACGGCGACCACGATCAGAACTCAGAGTCAGGACGATGGATGTGCATCATACCTTCGCCAAGAGCACCAATTGCCTTACAGTGACCAAACGCTTCGCGGACCCAGTGGACGGTACGTCCATTGCCCGCCAAAGCTTGCGCGTGTTTAGCACCGCCTGGTATAAGGATGGCGTCGAACATGGTGCTGCGCTGTCCTTCGTAATGATGGTCGGCCTGGTAACCTTTGCCCGACCCGACCGCTTCGCCGTCGGGGTAGACTTGTCCACGACGCGGACCTATGACGAAGGTATTTGCCATACCCGCCTTCAGTGCCGCGCGGAGTGCCTGCACCTCATGGAGGTTGAAACCGTCGGCGAGGAGGATAGCGATACGACGTGACTTGATCGTAGGCTCCTTGGGGGCAAAGCTAAGCTGGGAGAGCTTGGAAGAGCTCTGACCTCGGTTCTCGCGTGCGGGCTTGTCGGGGACGATACCCCCAACGTTCGTGGCCACCTGCTTGGCGAGATCGAAGTCGACGTTGTTGAGGACCTTGGTGTAGGTCTCGTAGACGACTGGATCATCGCAATGGTCGAGTTCGAAGGAGAGCGCGGAAACGAGGTGAGCTTTCTCGTGCTCCGCCAGCGAGTTGTAGAAGAGCTGAGCGTGGCTGAAGTGCTCCTGGAATTTCGCGCTACGTAGCCGCTGCTTCATCCCCTGGACCTTCTGCGGGAATCTGTTTGTAACAATGAGACACCGACAAAGATAGACACTCGAACATGGAGTACCCACTCTGCATAACCGCCCTCCGTAGGATGAACCGGTGCAACGAGCGAGTGCCTGTTGGGCCAATAGTTGGGACCCTTGGTGATCTTATGCTGCATAGCGCCATCGCGGTGATGATTCATGACAGGGCAGATAGGACGGTTGATAGGAAGCTGCTGCCAATTGACGCCAAGCCGGGACAGCTGGGTGTCGAAGTACGAAAAGTTACGACCTGTGAGGAGAGGGTCGTCGCTGAAACCGATGCCGGGAACGATGTGAGATGTGCAGAAGGCAACCTGTTCCGTTTCCGAGAAGTACTCGTCGACGGTACGGTTGAGGACCAACTCTCCGATGATCTCGACCGGGACCAACTCCTCCGGCCATATCTTCGTAGCGTCTAGGATGTCGAAGTCAAAGTCGTTCTCTCGCGCCTCGGGGATCACCTGAATGCCGAGCTGCCACTTGGGAAAGGCGCCGGACGTGATGGCTTCCTCCAAATCCTTGCGATGGAAGTCTAGAGGTCGTACCGTGAGTGTCACCTGCGCACTGATGTGCAGATCGAGTCGACATACCAGGGTCCTGACCGGCGATTTTCAGAGCTTCGTCCCACGCCAGGCTATGGACTCCGAGCTCCGGGATCCAGTGAAACTTCACGAAGAAGCGTTCATCCTGCGCGTTAACCAAAGTAACTGCTCACGGCAGTTAATACTCTCCTTTGGTCAACCCAACCGCGCAACTCACAAGTGTTCACGCCAAAGCCTTGCATCATCCGATAAGACCGAGGGATAGCACGGTCAGACATAACCCACATGATCATGTGAGCAGCTGTGTAACAGCCGTCAGCGACACACGCACGACGAAGAACGCAAAACGCGCATACACTCAGGCTGAAGACCGACAAAGTCCCAGAAGTTGTTGTGAGCGCTCTGACCAGTGGGAACCTCGTTGTGAGGCTCGGGTTTAACGGCATGGACAATGTCGGGGAACTTGATGGCGTCTTGAATGAAGAACACGGGTATGTTGTTACCGACGATGTCCCAGTTCCCTTCGTCCGTGTAGAACTTAACCGCAAACCCACGAACGTCGCGAACAGTATCCTGCGCGACGAGGCCGGTGATTATGGTATCCCGAGCGAAAACGGAGACGTACGTACTGCGCTCCCACGAGAACCTTGGACGGTACTGAAGCGGACGAAAGTGGGTGTAATTCGGGAGGCATCCGTCAGCACTCGCGCAAAGGTGTACTTGGACGCCCTGTCGTCGTATACCTGAGTGCATCGGCGGGCATGTGGCGTGTCAGAGATTGTATGCATCAGTGGTAGAAGACTCCACGATCACCTTGAAGTATCCGTGAGCTCCGGCACCACGGGCGTGGACGACACGCTACATCGGCGGACGTCAGCAGACTGTTTCGGACTTCAAAGTCAGAGGATGCTGACCTCAGGGATGCGCTCGTGGTCAAACCGCATTATCTTCTCCCGGGCAATCTGATAGGGGCGACGTTCCAGTGGCTCAATCATTGGAAATGGCGCAGTGACAAACCTGATCTTCGAGTAGAGCTGGTCCGGGACGCGCACCGTCCGTGGCGCGGAGCCTAGATTCATATTGTTCAGCGTCAGAAGAAACGCAGACTATATGCGCCAAAGAACTTACCAGTTGTCCGTGTCGGATATGAAGACGCCATGGTCGGTCGTCAGACCCTTCCCGGGCTTCTTGGCTGTATCCAAGGTCGCCTTCTGGAGGTCGGCGACTTTGGCGGTGTGGCCGGTTACGGAAGTGAATGCCTCTTTGACAGATCCGATGGCAGAGGACATAATGGAAGACACGAGAGGGATGTGGGCAGCCTCTCGCGGCGGCTAGCGCTATTATACTCGCCCGATGCGTGAAGGGAAAGTGAAGCGAAGGGCAACACGACGTCATGGAGGCGTCACTCGGACTAACTCTGCGTCCTAGTATGGAAGGGAGAAGTAAACTTCAGGTGAATGCTTTGGCTGTCCATCGCGCCATGACGCACATCCTCCTACTCAGAGTCATGCAATCGTAACACAGCGCTACGCGTTGCGGACTGTGAGAGTAGGCGGATTGCATCCTACGGTGTGCAGCCTGATGGTGACCACATCGAATTGCACACTAGGGTAGCCTGAGGCCGCCGATATTTGCACGTCGACTTCATGTAGGGCGTGAAAACATGAGAGGGTTAACGAGATGTGCTGCAAGGGCGTACGTCATACCTCGATTAGCAGCCGGGAGCGGATTCCGAAGTGGCTGAATAATATTGGTCACTGAGTACCGTCAGATGAGTGCGCCTCGGACGGATTCACCTAAACGCACCGTGGTCATTTGCCAGGGTAGTCCGGAGTCGCGGCCATTGTGCACATAGGTGACTTCATCCCGATCGTCAATGAGACGAACGGATGACGCGGACGGCAGGCCCTACAGAACACCTGTGTCGTTGCGTCGATCACGTGAGTCAACTGCCACCAGGCGCCCAGTGCGCACTGCGCAGGATGGCAGTGGCTAAGTAGGCTTGTGCGATGCTTGAAGACCGGGGTCGTCGATGAGATCGACGACCCCTGCACACACAAACCGCCAAATGGGTATACACAGTGCATCAGGAAGGGTCCGAGCGGCTGATGTCGAGTAAGTAGTATTGAAGAGAGATCGGGTCTTTGATCGATGTCTGACATACTAGTACCCCGGCGGAGCTACGAGCATTTACTTAGTGTGACCTGCTATACATTCGCGGCTCGTGTCAGCGCTCTCAACAGCTGGTCGCGACCGAACGGTAGACTTTGACAGAGAACCCCATGGGTCTTGGAATACCAGTCGCTTGAGGTGACCAACCACCAGGTGGCTGCTGCGCAGCCGCCGCAGCATCAGCCTCGCGTTCGACGTAACCCAAGGAGTCTGCGGCAGCGCTGCGGTCTTGCAAGTCGCATGCTGCAGAGGTCGACCACCTTGGCGCGTCTTCAAAAACCTCCGGCGGGAGAGCGGTGGTCCACGCGCGCGAGCAGAGTCAGCATACGGCCGCAGCGTCACCCCCGAGAGCGCTGCGGCGCCGGAGGACTCGTGAGCCGACGCAATTGAAACGCGACCTGAAAAGCACATACTTACTCCACAGCAGCCCCGCAGACCAATGGCGAGATGATCGGAAGGCCGGAATACCCTGGGTATCCATCGCACGACTGGGACGATGGAGAGTAGCAGCTGAAGCTCTAGTCACGGTCCTTTCACATGTTGCTGTGCGACAAATGTGATTGCGTTCATGGAGACCAAGCACTGCAGCGTACGGCCTCGCTCGTGCAATAAATCACGAAGTCAAACTGGCCCCTTTCACTGTCCTGTACTGACAGAAACAGCTCAGTTGCGAGTCAGTTTGGTACCATCGTGCAAGTCGGATGAAGCATCTAGCTGACCGAGATTCTGCCATTGCCGATGAGTGACAGTCGACTGCGCCGCGGCTCCGGCGCAGTTCCTTTGCATCGATGTCAACATGGACCCACAACTGTTTCCATGGATTTGTGTGTACCCGACGAGAAACAAACTATTGGAGCCGTCAGCGCCACAAAGCCGTCAGTGACGGTCAGTCTAAAGGACGTGAACGACTCACAGTTGCCTCGACAGCCGAACGGCTAGACACACAATCCAAGGACAATTGGCATAGGAGACATGGATTACGGAGGATGGTACAGATCAATCAAGAAGCGAACGTTATTCAACATATATATGATTACGCCGGATACAGTCAACGCAGAACAATCAGAATCGGAAAGGAGCAGCAGAAGGAGGGTGGAGAGCATAGACAACCGCCAGACAACCAAGCATGAATATGATGACAGGCGAGAAGGGGATATTCGACGGAAGGCATATGTCTACAGGGCACGCGTGAACTCAAAACCCGTGGAC